AAACATTTAGTTACTTTATTATATTCATCATACTTTGAATGAGAATTTATAAGTCCTTGTCTTACCCGTTCGGCTAACGACCCTCCACCAGTCAAGCAAGCGGTGGGTGAGAATATTCACCCATTAAGTCACCATTTTATAGGCAACAACCTTATACCCACCTTATAGACCGGCTTCGTGAATGAGGCGTACTAGCGGTAAGACGACTTTATTCTTATACATATATATATAATTATTAAATTATCATAATATAAGTATAAGGGTTGAATTTTAACTTTTAAAATTCTAGGGGTTGGAACTTAAAGTTTTAACTTAACTTTACTTGTTCCAAAACTTGAGGGCAAGTTTTGTAACTTTCAAAACTTTTCATTTCTTGTAACTTATGAGTTTAATAGAGTAATAAAATGAAGACTCTTCATTTTTATAACTCTTGTGTTTTTCTTAATGGTTTTAACTCAAGTGTGACTCTTGGTTTTCCATAACTTAAGGATAAGTTATGGACTCCATTAAAACACATTATGATCAAGAATTAAACTACCAAATAGGTTACAAATAATTCCTATGATCATCTAAAACATCATAAGAACAAGAACATGAATATGAACACAATCAAAAATTACATAAAACTTTGTAATTTTGATAACTAGTTGTTGTAAATGAATTAGCAAAGACATTACACCACCAAAAACAAGTTTACAATTACCAAAACAGTTTAGGGTAATGTTTCTAATTCATTTTCCAGCAACTGAATCGAAATTCTGCACTCATTCGACCCTACTCGCCGAGTGCATGAACATGACTCGCCGAGTTGGTTGAAGATACTCATGGACTCGACGAGTCCCCCCTATAGACTCGACGAGTCCATTCGCAGACAGCAAATTTCCGATTCTGTTTTCAACTTTTAAGCACAAATAAGAACAAACAAGCCTAGGCTCTGATACCACTGATGGGTTTTGAGCATTCTAACACTTCCTAAGTGTACATGCAACCCTAATAACCTTGGATCTATGTTTGTCTAATTGTCATGCAAAGTTGAATTCCAAGGTTATATTCCTATCTAGCATACATGGGGAACAATTTTAACATAAAGTATAGATAGAATAACTTACCTTGTTGTTGCTTGTGTTCCTTGAAACCTTGTGAGCCTAGCACCCCAAGTGTGATGCCTCAAATGCTTCACACAACACCAAATGCTCTTGGAAGAACTTATGAGAGTATACTCACTTCATAAAATCGGCCAAGCCCTCTTGATTCTTAGTGTAACCGATTTTGGGTGGAGGATATGTTACTTATATAGTGTTGACACATCTAGGGTTAAACCCTAATGTGTCATGACTCTTCATTTCCATGATCCATGGGTTTGTAACTCCCATGGAGCATCCATGGAGCATCCTATGGGTGGAACCCAACTTGATGGTCCATGGAGCCTTTTAGCCCACTATACAAGATATGGATGATTTACTTAATCAACCCATATATTTAATTAGTTATCTTTTGATCACTTAATTAATTCTAAATTAATTCTTGATCAAACTAATCAAATAATATTATTAATATATTAGAACTTATAATATATTAATAATCTCCAAGTGTTATTTCTCTCATTTAGTCTATCCAATTGCATGGTGCCATGCAACCCAAATGGACCATGCCGGGTCGGGTCAAGTACATACCAGAAATAGTTATGGACTTAGACACCTTATCCAACACAAACAAGGAAAATTCCATAGGTTCTAAGTAGCATATTGAGAGGAGATAACATGGTTTGGGTACCATGATTCATTGCAAATCGAGAGGTGGTCACATGGTTCCTTTCAGAGGTTGTTGTATGTTGACCATAAGCCTCATTGACTCATTATTTTTGGAAGCTTTAATGGAATACTCACTACGAGGGTTCCTTCCAGATGTTGTTGTATGTTGACCATAAGCCTCATAGACTCATTACATTTGCATTAGTCGACGAGCTACCTTTCTCTTCTCTTATTGAGTTAAGGGATTTCTACTAAGTCTATATTATTCGTAGAGGTACACAATGTTTCTTAACCAATCCTTTTCACCAACTTTTTTCTTCACGATTCACACAATTCACTTGTGTATCCTCGACATCTCTCGTAGAAACCAACTAGAATGTGGATATATCACAAGTATGTGTTCATGATCCTGATTTATGTGTCCGTGATGATGGTGAAACCCAACACTCCCAACTTACAAGGAATTGACGGTGAAAAATGTTCTAGATTTTAATGAAACACTTGTTTATGTACCATCATTTAATATTCAAAATCGTATTCCTTTTGTTTTGCGCGGTCTTGATAAAATATTCTTCCACCAAGATATTTTTCCCAACAAAATCCAGTGTTTTATTTTTCTTGGAATATGGTTTCTGTTTAAATATCTTTTGGAATCCTCGTCATTTTGACATATTTTTTCCACCTTACTTGTTTCTGACTACACTGGTCATACAAGTAATTTTGTTCATTTTATTCGTACTTATGTCAAGTTGTCGTTTTGAACAAAATTGAGCCTACCTTTGAAACCTAAGTAAAAGAAGACCTTTGATATTCATTCACGAGTATTCTATTGTACTCCATGGGATACCACACAAGCAGTTTGATGTCTCTCTTGATGTCGAATGAAGTAATATTTGCATGGGATCCATCTGCTTTACATCGAATGTTTATTTGATGTCACTATATGCACATTTTTTTTTACTTTGGTTCCAGTTATTTCTTTGGCACACATTTGCACAAAAATCCTTGAGGCCTTGGGTAATACCAACTATATATTAGATTTTGCAAGTCTGAATATGATTTTGTTTCTCATCTCAAAAGCGAATGAGCCCTACCTCAAAACGAAGGTCAAGTGAAACTTCTTATCCTCTTGGGGCACACGAAACATCTGGTGGATGTGACGGTTTGGTTCTTTCACGGTTTTCAAGGGAAAAGTGCTCATCAGTTTTTCAAACGTGGTGACTTTTTTGAAAACTGACCCACTTTCCAAGGCTATACATGGCTGTTTTTTTATTGGTGGATGGTTTAAATTCAAAATTTTTGTGTGCTACAAAAGGAATTTAGTGGTTAAAATGACAAACTTCACGCAATTTGCTCTAGTTTTCCCCAAATCTTTTCTTCACAATAATTCTTTATTCTTCAAAACACTAACAATGGTGGCACCAACTGGTAATGTTGATCCTTCCAACACCACCGAAGATGCAACATCTCAACCAATGTTGTAGACTCAGAGTTTAAATTATCGTGTTCAACCTGATGTCTCGAAGTACGCCGATGAATTGAACATGTTGATTATGGCTCTCAATCATTCAGTTCTTTCAACAATTATGTTTGTTTCTTTCTCTGTTCTCATGACATGGTTATCTTTAGTGGGTTCTATGACAATGTTTAACAAATGCTCTAAAGTCATGAAGTTTCAACTCACGGATGACAAGAAGTACAAGCTCACCAAGAAGAATTTTGCATAGATATTAAAGATTCCCAATACAGGTCCATTTTACAAGGTTACTAATGAACAAGTGTTTCACATGTTTAATGAGATGGGTCTTTAACCCCCACTCACATGAAATAGTCAATTTCACAAGGATACCTCAGCTTGCATCTGGAACTTCTTGTTTGGGATTTTTCTTCGATGTCTAAAAGGTCGAAGCACTGGTCTAGACAAGGAAAAACTGGAAGTATACGCCATGATTGAAGGGCTATACTATGATCTTAATGTGATTACGTTACTCAATTATGGGAGAATTTCGATAAAAGTATTTCTCACACTAATGCTTCTAATGGTGTCTCCTGTGTGAGGCATTGGAGCTTAATCTTATAAGAAGTTTATGAGAAAGAGGGGATTTTGGTTCCATCTGAAGTTCCGAAGCCAAAGTTTACAATATATTAGCAATCTAAAAGTGTTGAAGATGATCCAATATTATTTTCTGTTGTGACTCAAATCCTCGATGCCATGTTATGAAAGGTGGATCCTGTTAATCCAGTTCTTGTTGATTATTTAAACATAATCAACCCTAACCAACAAGTAGGGGATTTGTTAACAAAAGGGGAAGAAGGTCCTTCGAAGGGTGGTAATGTTTCTAAGAAACCTAATAAGGTTGACCAACCTAAGTCCGTTACTATGTTAATCAAGAAGGAGGTTATCAAACCAGTTCAAGACCCTGTTGAAAAAGATGTTCCAAAAGAAGTTGTTCCTTCGAAAGCAGGTGTTCTTAAACAAACCAAGAAGCCATCACATCGACCTCATCATTCTCCAAAATGCCTAATCATGGAAGAAGTTCCTGATGAGCCTTTGTCTTCACCAACGGAAGGTTCCATTTCAAAAATCAAGAAGATTCACAAACCTCAGCTGAATCGAAGGGGTATGAAAATTCTTGAGGTTCCAACTCCAGTTTTAACCTCTTCGAAGAAACAAAAGGCACATGAAGTAGTGAAGAATATACAAAAGAAGAAGAAGCTGCTGGAAGATCCTCTTGATGAGGTTGATGTCGAAATGGATTTCGAAAGTGGGAGTGACAAATCTCCCATTCGCCGCAAAGAGCTTGGTTTTGGCGTCGCATCACCTCAAAGGGACTTTCTAGTTAAGTCGAATTTTGAGGTAACTGGAAGTCTTGGTGGCACTATGAAAGTATCTAATACGGACACAAACACTAATTTGGGTGATCCTACAACTACTACCATCCCTGTGAAGACAATGGTCATACCGCCCGAGGTTTCGATGGCTGAATCCATTTAGGAGGTGGTTCGAACCTTATGCATCACCGAGAAACTATCTAATATGTATACCAATATCAACAAGGGTGAAGGGGTAATAAATTCTGAAGCTCAAGGTACAAATTCTATTGAAACCTCATCTATTCCTACTACACTCGTTTACCTTCTACCATTGAAACATCCTTTGTCGAGAGTTCAACTTCTTTACCATTTTTCTCTTCACCAATTCCATCTTCATTACCCGCTTCCTCCATTTCACCTACTTTTTCCAACATCATGCATCAACCCATTCCTTCACTTTTCTCATCCCAATCAAATAAAAGGGAAACAAATGTTCCAGACTATGCATATGATGATGATGATAATGTGATGGTGTCATTTGCTGAAATTCAGTTTCACCCAGAAGAAGATAATATTCCAAATCACATGCTTATGTCTGGGAAACAATTTAAGATTTTGAACAACAAGTTGAATTCGTTGTTGCAAATTCAAGCAGATACAGGGGGTCGACATTCGAAGTGGACATGTTGCTTATGTCACAAGAACATCGATTGATAGTGGGTATGGAAAAGATTGATAGGCAACATGAAGATTGCTTAAACATCAAGATAACAATATTCAACATGAGATCACCAAGTTTCGTGATGTAGCCAAAGAACATCACATTCTTTTTGTTGAAGAAGTACAGAAGGTGCAATAGTATGTCAATCTAAAAGTGATAGAGCTCAATTCTAAAATGAAGAAGAAGGTTACAAATCTTGATCATAATTATACTAGTCTTCATGGAAAGTCTATGTGGTTGTCGAAACAATAAAGAAGCTTGCAGAATATAACAATTCTTTTACTACAAAGGTGGATGTTAAGAATGAATTTGATTCAAAAGTGTTGCTCAAGCTTGATGAAGTTTTGGGTAACCTGAAGGAGTCCATGTCAAAGCTTGATCTTTCTCAACAATCCACTATTTCTATGGAGTCCATTTCGAAGATGATTTCATCTCTCGAAAAGAGTCTAAAAATAAACCTAGCTCTTATTCTTCAACTCATGTCTTTCCTGCCAACAAATTGCCCACCTGTCAAATAAGTGGTTGAAGAGGGAGATAAAGGGGTTGTCACTTTGAAGGATTCATATCTAGGAAAGGTTTTTAGGAAGGTGATGTCGATGTAAATTCCAACATCACTTCCTGTTTCATTAACAACCACTTTAACTACAACAACTTTGAGACCACTAACTAAAGGTGTTGTTATAGGACAAAGTGTAGGGGGATCAAGTTTGAGTTCGAAGCTACCACCTTTGAAAGAAGAAAAAGGAAATAAATGGAAGGGTATCTGGATCAATCTTTTTTGAAGAAGAAAAGAAGAAAGATTTGGAGAAGGAGATTGAGAAGCAAAGACAAATAAAAGATATAATGCATCAAAGCCAAAGTGATCCACCAGGTTTAGACAAAGGTGATAGATGCAAGCAATATTGTTACAAGAAAATATAGAAAGTTCTATATTCTAGTGTTATGCATGATTTTGAGAAGATTCCAAAGAAGAGCTATGAAATAAAAAAAATATTGATTTTAATCAGCTGAATTTTTCGATTAACCACATTATGTTCATCTCTTCTCAGTATCAATTGGTTAATAAGTTTGAGGATAAAGAAGAGTTCAAGAGATTGAAGTTAAGGTTTCATGCAATTCTGGCACAGAAGGATTTTGCACTTAAACTTCAAGAATATCAACAAACTCGTGCTAGGTGATCATGTACGAGGCTTGCCACTTTTAAAGTTCGAGAAAGATCATCTCTGCACGACCTGCAAACTTGGGAAGTGTACCACAAAGAGTCATTCAACGATAATAAACACCAAAGTGATCGAACCAATTGAGCTTTTATATATAGATCTTTTTGGTCCATCTGCCATCAAGAACATTGGTGGTAACAAGTACATCTTAGTTATTATTGATGAATTTTCTAGGTTTACGTGTGTTTATTTTTTTAAACAGAAATCTAAAGCTACTTCCAAGCTCAAGGACTTTATCAAGCAGATTGAGCTTCAACTGTGAAAGTAAGTTTGGAACGTTCACAACGATAATGGTTCTGAATTAAAAAACAATATGTTTGAAGTATTCCCGACTAACAAGGGAGTTGCTCACAACTTCTCGGCTCCTTACACTGCTCAGCAAAAAGGAGTTGTTGAATGACGAAAAAGTTAGATTAGGTGTCTAAGACCATAACTATAATTGGTATGTACTTGAATTGATAGTAGCGATGTCCTTTTGGGTTTCCTTCAAACATAGCAATTGATAGGATAACAATTGGAGAGAGAAGAATGATATCTTAATTTATTACTTGGTTAATAAATTAATTTGAAATCAAGATAAATGATAAATTAATGTATTATGGATATAATATGTAAATTAGAAATCATATTTTTAATTAATATTTAATCAAAAATTAATTTGGAATTAATTTTAGGATTAAAGGAATTAATTGAAATTGCAGGGATTAAAGGTGACAATGTTTAAAAGTTTAGCATTGAACATTCTAGAACCTCCCTTAGAGATGGGGAACAAAATCTAGAGTGTATTAGGGTTTCCTTGGGATCTAAGGGTGCCTTGGAAGCCTTAGGAAGGAAGTTAAAGGAATAGGGTTATCTAAGATACAGCTGCATTTTCCTAAACCTTCCTTATCACCTATATAAACCCTTATAGGGTTGGATTTCGTTGCATGCACTCCAAGAAAGGCTTAGAGCCAAATTTTCACTTCCCTCCCCCCTCTCTCTCTCTTTCTCTCTCTCTCTCTCTCTCTCTCTCTCTCTCTCTCTCTCTCTCTCTCTCTCTCTTCTCTCTCTCTCTCTCTCTCTCTCCATAGTAATCCTTGGTTGCTAGGTTTGTTTTTGAGCCATAAGAAGGGCGAAGCTTGTGGCTCTTGCTACCAAAGCTCAAGATCTTTAAGGATTTGGTGGTTATTACAATATAACAATAAAGGTATGTATTCTAACCCTAATTATATGTTAATTTCGAAAATTACATGTGCCTCCTAGGGTTTCTAGTTTTCTGTTCAATGTTTGTATGTCTAATAGTGAAAACATAGATCCTCAAATTACGGATGCATACACACATATGATTGTTTGCTATGTATAACACCCATCAGTGGTATCAGAGCTTTTAGTTGTTGTTTTCAATTAGATTTGATAAAAAGTATGAATTTGACAAATTAGGGTTTATGGCAAATAAACCCTACGGCTAGGATTTTCGAAATTAGGGTTTCAAAACCCTAGTTTTTGAAATTTGTTAGGGTTTCTTGAACCGTTTTTCCTTTGGCCCCATATTTTCAATTTTAGTGTTGGTAAACCCTAGGGTTTTCGAAAACAACTTCCTCGCAAGATTAGATTTCAAAATTTTAGGGATTAGGATAATTTTATCTTTGGTAATTATCTTATTAATTATTTAAATGAATAATTAAAGATTTTGAAATATCTCTTCCCAAAATTTTGAAACCAAGGGTACAAATGGATTAACTTAAATTAATTATTTAATTTAATGGATAATCCTTTAAGATTTAGTAATTTAAATTAATTGTTTAATTTTGGATAATTATTAAATCAAAGTTTTAATATTTAAGATTTTAAAATTAATAGGTATTATTTTTTCAAAAATTTTAAATTTGATTAAAAACCCTAGTATTTTGAAATGTTTAAAATACACCCTTATACTATTATAATATTAAAAGCTTAATACTTATATATATATATATATATATATATATATATATATATATATAAGTAAAAGGCCAGTCTTACCGTTAGTAGGCCTCATTCACGAAGCTGGTCTATAAGGGGTGTTTAAGGAAGCAGCTTGTAAAATGTTCGCCATTGGGTATCCACTCTTACCCACCCCACTCTTGACTAGTGGATGGTAGTTAGCAGAACGGGTAGGATATGACATAACCTTCCATTACAAGTGTAATGAAATACGAAGTAACTAAAAGCTTTTATAAATTCCCAAATCTTAGTTACTTTAGGAAAAATGTGGAATTGCTGCTAGTCCATGAAATTGCACATTGCACCTTGTTGGTCGTTAGTAGAGCGTGTGTGGTTATCTGGCACAATAATATGGGACAAATGAAGGACATCAATGGGTTTCTCATAAGATTATCATTGATCAATGTAGCGTTTGTGGTTAACCGATACATTAATTGGGTGGTGATCGACATCGAGAGTACCAAGCTAATTTGCATGGTTATCCACACCTAGTTTGTGATCCTCAGCATCCCAGTCACAAACTTGAAGGGCATAATCGAGATTAAACATGCCATTGAAAAGTTCAATGAATCTCAAAGGATCTAGGAGTTTCAAAATATTTAAACCTAATTTTCTTTTCGTTTATCATGGTGGAAATTGCTAAATCGTCATTTAACTACCTTAAAATATTCTGCAGCTGGATTACGGCATCCTTCTTCCAAGTTGTAGAATATTATGTTGGGTCCTAGCCTTAATATTTCCTTTGAGTGTTATATTAAGGGTTGAATCAACTAACTTGAATTTATCCTGTTTTGTAGATGTCAAAATCTAACAACTATGGCATTCCCAAATCCTTTGGAAAAATCTTTCCATATGAAGATAATGTTCCGCGATTGGATCATGGGAATAGAAATCATGATTCACTTCCTCCACCTCCTCCAATAAGTCTCCATGACCCACGTTTTCATATAGTTGAAAAGTTCAAGGTCACTCAAGCCCTATTGGCAAGAAAACATGAAGAAGGAAAGTGTATATGTGCTCACATCTTGGTTATGAAGTTGCATATTGACAAGTTAGGGATGTTGGGTGTCGATGTCTCAAGGAAGCTAGCTGTTGACTTGGTTCTTCAATCATTTCCCAAATAATTTAGTGAGTTCATTAAATATTACTATATAATGGAACACGATGTGACCCTCGTTGATCTTACCTATTTGCTTATTGCTGCTGAATCAGTAATGATTTCGCGCACTGGTAAAGCAAATTTGACTGGTCAACCTCCCAAACTTTCATGGACGTTGAAAATGGCAACACTAGAAGTCTAGAAAAGTCTTCTCTTCCCAATGGAAAGGGATTGTCTATGGTCAAACCGTTTAACCGGATGGTAAAGAGAAAGGTTGAATCTAAGATTGTCCCATGTGCTGTTCCAAAAGAGTCCATTTGTTTCTACTTCCAAGAGAAGGGGTATTAGATGCGAAGTTGTCGTATCTACCTGAAGGATTGCGAAGATAGGAGAATCAAGATGTATGACTCCGCTTCAGGTAAAATCCACTATCTAACTCTATTAAGTTCCTATTTATAGATTCTTAACACATGATGTGATAAGATTGGATTTTGATGTTTTGTAGGATCGAAGAAAAGAAAAGTAGCTTAACGGAAAGGTATGTTGAGTCTAATCGTGAAGAGATGGTTTTCGATTGCATGGTTCGATGATCGGATTTTTTAGCTGCTACATAGGAGTTATGATAAATTGCTTACGAATATAAAGTAACATAGTTTTCATTTGTAATTGTGTTGTAAGGATAAGTCTTTCCGCGTTTTTATTAATAAAATAAATTTTGATTTTTGTCTTATCTATATGTATGACTATTTTAAAAATTGATGTTTGTATGTTTCTATTGTTAGCAATATTGAAAATGGATGTGATTCTTAGTTATGTTGTTTGTGGTAGTGTTGAAAATTTACCAAATAAGGAATGATTCTCATCACACAGGTTTCAATTGGACCACAACTTGGAATCATGCGACTTGCATTGTGTGATGAGTTCATCTTTGGCAAATATAGACTAATTTCTTGTTCACATAAGCATGTGAGTCAAGTGAAGGACAAAAGGATCTGGTACGCAATGTTGTGCACTAGGTCAAGTCCACCACAAAGAACGATAAGAATATTCTTCATGATTTGCTAAAAGTTTAGTAAATATGGTTATGCTTACAAGATTAAGTGTAATTCTGAATCGTTGAAAAGGTTTCGAACGAATAAGAAGAATCAATTAAGCAGAAAGATAAAAGTTTCTCTAATATGAAAAGAAGGGAGAGTACTTAAGTATGGTGTTTTATGATTATCTTATGATTATGAAA